TTTCAAAAACAAATCAATACAAAATTGCAAAGTACACGGAAGCTTTCCAAAATTCACAAAGTACATGGAGTCTTTCCAAAAATGATTGAAGGACAAGTTCTAAGGCACATGTAGGCATTCCAAAAATCATTCCAACCTACGTCGTATAGTCTACATGACATGCCCTTATCTACAGAAGACGCTTTTGTACAGTATATATCATTCCCCCTCTTCGCCACAAGCCGAAAAGTCATGCATTACACATGAAACAAACCCTACCACTAATACGAACATGTCGAAGACCTACACGAAAGTTGATTCAAGCCGAAGACCTACACAAACGTTGATTCGTGCCGAACAAAATTGCAAAGTACACGGAAGTTTTCCAAAATTCACAAAGTACATGGAGCCTTTCCAAAAATCATTGAAGTACACGTTCTAAGGCACATGTAGGCATTCCAAAAATCATTCCAGCCCACGTCGTATACTCTACATGACATGCCCTTTTCTACAGAAGACGCTTCCGTATAGTCTATATCACTCCCCTTCTTCGCCACAAACCGAAAAGTCTTGCATTACATATGAAACAAACCCTACCTCTAATACGAACATGTCGAAGACCTACACGAACGCTGATTCGAGCCGAAGACCTACACGAACGCTGATTCGTGCTGAAGTCCTGCATTAGATAAAAGGTCATCCGAACCCGACACGATGTTCACCTGCCTACACAAGTCCCAGACAGAAGCTCATCCAAGCCCGACATGATGTCCAAACCGTGATAGGGTCAGACCCACTGCAAAAGGAGTGAGGTGATAAATGGGAGTCTATTCGCATATAGAATCCGAATACCCTGAGACGATGAATATCTGCGTAGCATGCGTCGGGTGAAAAAAGTTAGTACGATCTTCATGGTAGCAGCATGTACAGTCTTCGAGTAGCCTCCCACGATCATCGTCGTTGTGCTCGTCTATGTTGAACTCGATTAAAAGGACTTGGTTCGGGAATTCGGGCCTCAAGATCTGCTTCGATATTCGACAAGTCGCGCATGAGTAAATCTCTTAAAACTCGATTCAAATTGCTTCAGTGACGGATTTGGAACGGACAACAGTCTCCCCAGAACAGGGAACTGTCATCATCTTCTCTTACGCCGGATACAAGGAATAATTTTTCATCCAAGCACGAGGCGATATGCATGATGAAGATCGATAAGAAAAACGTAATGGCAGGCTCACAACCTTCTGGCATTCTATCGAAAGATGTGCTGGTTACGTACGAATAATACAAACAGCTTCTCAACTCCCCTTCGGACGCAATGTAGAAATCAATTCTGAAGACGGGCCTGTCGCGTAGCATGACCATCACAATGTACTGAAAAGTTGGGGTAGGCGGGGGCGAAACAGACGGCTGGACACTAGCGCGGACGTCTTTGGGGACCGGAAGGTAGCGGTATCTGGGAAGCCCAATGTTGCCAAACCACTCTAAACTATAAATGTTCTCAGTTGCGGCAACAACTGCACTTCGCAGACTTTCGCAGTAGCCCAGGTCTCTGACAACGACCATCCCACTGAAACTTCTAGACGATATTTTGCATTAGAAAAGAGAACAGCGTCATTGTCATATACGGAGAGGTGGGTAAACGGCGAAGTTGAGACCGTCTGATGTTGGCAAAGTGCGAATGAACTCGTAATTAGATAGACAGTTTGTCATGCAACGAGGTATACCAAAGGGGACGGGGCATGATGAACGAGAGATCAGTAAAGGGGCGAACATGAAATTCAACAGGCTGTAAGCATAGTACGAGTTTATTCGCACTAGAGAAAATACGAAGCAACTAATTCAGAACGCCGCTAGTGAAGATGTAGATGTCCAGCATCGCAGTAACGGCAGTCGCACACATATCCTGTCTTCCCATTGTGCAGAGTCACTTCCTGGGGTCCGGAGGCTGAATAATCCAGATGACGGTAAACAAATCGCAATTCATTGTCCCTATGTTCGACTGTGAAATTTATTTCGTCGCAGCTATCGAAGAGGTAGTGAAGTTGTTGGTGCACCAAACAGTCGACCCGCAAATGCAGCTCATCTTTGAGTGTTTGATCTATGGCGAGAATGTTTTTGAACCATGCAAGGGAACCAGTAGGGCTGGACGTGTGAAACACTTGAAAAGAAGAGAGCTTGACACCGTGAAATTCCTCCCTTGTGAGAAAAACAGCTCTCATTCGTCGACCGTCCACCTTCACGGCAGTGAAGAGCGTCACGACGGTGGTGCCTCGATTACACACCCTCGTTCGACCGAAGTAGTCTATGATCACCGGCGCCGACTTCGTCGGTTGGCCGAGGCAAAACCAGGCACACAGTTTTTGATGCAACTTGTCCAACGACACCCACTTAAGTTTCTCACATAAAATGTGTCATGCTTCAACCATCTTAGAAGTTTGGACGGGTTCCTCTTGAAGGGGTTCCCTCTTCAGAAGTGACTCCAATCTGATAGGGTATGCCTGTACATCCTTCATCAGAGTGTACAGGTACCAAAAGTTCGACCCTACATCACGGCAAATCCGAAGTTGTCCTTCTTCCGCACTTTGCCACGAAGGGATTTCCCCGTCCGGGGCAACATTATCTTCGAGGTGCAGGTAGTTACGGTCCAGACCAGAGCGTCCAATGTCTTCCCAAATGTTCTTCGACAAAATGATTAGATCGACATCCGGCGCTGAGGACTTCCTACTCTGCGACGAAGTCCCAATATCCATTCTGCATCAGCGGAGAAACGCAAGGAAGCGCGTCAGTTGCGATTCTCGCAAGTGCATAAGCAAAACGTACAGGGGATTTATATGCACGAAAGGGTTCGATAATTGGTAATTGGTTCGCACATCGCAAGAGAGCGCAAGTTTTCTAACCGCCGTTTAATGCCGACTTATTTTCTACACGTCATTCATGTGGGTCGATAAGTGAGAGTAGATTCGCACTTCGCAAATCAGCTCAAGTCCTGCAACCACCGCCAACAATTGGAAAATAAGTGAGAGTAGATTCGCACTTCGCAACTGAGCGCAAGTCCTGCAACCGCCGCTCAAATTCGACTCATCTTCACCACGTCGTTCATGTGGAACGGTCAGACTACTCTCTTATTGGGTGGAACGGTCAGACTACTCTCTTCATCAACGCAAGTCCTGCAACGATGGCGTCGATGAACGGCGAGGTCGTCCTATGAGTACAGCAGCAAAGTGCGAACTAACTCAGAGTTGTCTCACATAGCAGGTCATGGCGACTGGTGTCCATCCCCACAGTAAGGACAGTCGTAGATCTGTCTCCGCCTACCCCCTACGAATTCCACTGTTTGGACACCCGAACGGTGATGCGAAACTTTTCGTAGAGTGTAGTCATTGCAGTTGTCCTTGTATTCCAACGTGAATAATATGTCGTCACACATTCCGAAAAGGAAGTGAATTTGGACATGCACCAAACAGTCAACCCTTTGATTCAACTCTTTTGCGAGCGAAGGATCTATTTCGAATCGTTCACGGAAGTGCTCGAGGGCACCAACGAACGGGGGCTCGCGAAAGTCTTCCCTCACAAGGAAGAAAGCGTTCATTTGCTTACCACAAAGCTTGGCCGCCGTGAAAAGAGTCAGCACAGGGGTGTCACGGTTGAACAAACGAACTCGGCCATGGTAGTCTATTATCACAGGAAAACGCAACTGCGGCTTCCCGATGCAGTACCATGCGCAAAGTTTAACATGTTGCTCGTCCATACAACCCCACTCTTGTTCGAAGCACACCGACTCCCAGTCATCTACCATATCCTCGACGTTCATCTTCTCCTCCTGACTGGATGGAACTTCCAAAAGTTGGACTTCTTCTAAACTCCAGTAGAGGTACCACATATTTGATCCTCTATTATGAACTATTGTAGTTTGTCCATCAACAACACGTGTTTCGGGTGTAATGTAACTGTCGAGGCCGACCCCAGCTTCGATATGCAGATAATCGCTGTCAAGACTGAGCGTTTGTTGTGCCGAAATGCATTTGTTCATGATGATAAGCTCTGTGTCCACATTCTCGATCAAAAAGGAATACTCGCTCGCGTACGATGAGGTTTCATAGGACGTTGTCTCATATACAACGTCGCACGATGGTGTGTCGTCATCATGCATCCTACAAGACAAGAAACCGGAATTAGTTCGCAGTTCACGTCTCGTCATTATCTTAGCGGAGTTCGTAGCTACCAAATCCGAATCAGTTCGCATTTATCTAAACAGGCACGTCGGACGGACCGGAAAGACGGCCGTCCCCCAACGCCACAAGCACTTTCTCACAAACGGATGTCGTTATTGCAAGGCCTGTCACGAATTTGCTCTCATCCGTCCCTTTGCGAAAAGGTCTTCTCCAAGAATAAGCCACGGTTTCGGCGCGTTGCCATTGTTCCTCGTTCGAAGTGGAAAGTTTCCACCTCTTCGTCCAAGCGCCAGAGTACCTTTCGCGAAGATCGGACGAGTGACCTGTAGGCACCCACCATTGTATACGTAAACAACCGAAATGCGGTGAGGAACGGTCGTCCACAACCTCGGACTGTGCTCTGCAAACCCAGAACGGGACACCTTGAGACACTTCCTCATTAGGCGGCCTAACAATTAGAAAATCACCTTTGTTTATATGGCGCCGAGGGTCGAAGTCCACTTTTGGATGGCCCGCCCTCGGTCCTACATATATAAGCGAAGCATCTAGCGAAGGAGGGTCGGCTTCTTGAACTCCCTCCACAGTTTCGACTGATTGTGGCCAGAAGGTATGAGGGTAGATCTCCGGCTCGTCCGCCCCGATGACGTAGCATGTGGAAGGACGGCGGCGTGACAAGTTCTCAAGGACCTGCTTACGGGGAGATGGAGCGGAACCCGTCCCGTCTACTGGGTCTACTCGAAAACTTTTGCAAAGCTGGGCAAACTGTTTTTTTCTTTGGGAAGGCGCATGCGTCTGTCGTGTGGGAACTCCTCCGCACCGGTCGGAACGTCGTCGCGTTGGAGAAGGAGGCGAAGATGATTGATTACCTTCACGAGTTCGTGAAGACTCGCGTTGCAGACACTCGCAATGCTTGCGAGTTTGTTCACAACCGGCGAACGAAACTGGGATCCCAAACGTGACATGTATTGGAAAATGCCGGGGAACAAAAGGACGGAGGTTTGGGACTTCCTTTTCCAACCCAGACTGCCTGGTCCGACCGACCTCGAATACAATCGACAGAGAAACCTGGTGTTCGGTGTGCTCAATGGGTACCACGATGCACCCAGGGAGTCTGTCTCGCATTTCCTGAGAAGGCTGGAGCACGTTTACTTCACGCTGGCCGAACCGCTCACCCTGGAAAACTACAAGTCACAGTTTGACGAGGAGGATTTTTTCGACGCTGAAGACATGGAGGAGCTGAGCGACTCGGAAACCTTCGATTTCGAGTCCATGCCACTTCCTCGGGTGGTTGGACAGGTTGGTGATGAAGAGGAAGGTGGCCCTCAGAGATATAGCACGTCCCCTGCCGATTTGAAGCGGATGTTTCGGGGCGAACTAGTCGACGACCAATCGTCTGATGACGGGGAGGAAGATAGAGACTATGATCACGAATCTTGTGACAAGCTCCCTGAGGACCACGACACCTGGCAGAATGACAGACTCTACTTCTTCTGCAAGCATCACCGGTTCACGGCGGAGGATGTCTGGGGACACAACGTCGTCTGGCATCCGAGGATATTCCAACCTGCTGCGAGGAATGGAATGTGGGTCATGACAATGAAGGAGGCCGATGGCAAGTGGAGTGGACTGAAGAGACTAGGAGCGGGTGCATTTAAGAGAACGGCGAGAACTGCTCTGGTGGAGCATTTGAGTCTTATGAACCCCGAGAGGAACGATCCGGACGTCGCTGCGTATGCGTATGCAGAACAAAAGCTAAATGAGTTGTACGCCAACAACATGTTGGAGTTTCGAGCGCCTTTCTATACACTCGATACGGCACCGTCTCGTGGCATTGACTGCCGCATGCCGCAACCTCCGTCGGGCGGTCAGCATCCGGGAGGGGGTGGAGGAGGAGACGAAGGAGACGGCGGAGGTGGCGGAGGAGACGGCTCACAGTTTGCCGGAAAGAGGACGGGCGAGACATCGTCGGTAGAGAAGGCGTCCGGCTCAAAGGGGTCAGGCGGAAAGGACTCGGGCGGAAAGGGGTCGGGCGGAAAGCGTAGAACGTCCGGGAGTCCCCAGTATATGGAAATTGACCCTCACTGCGTAGGGAGTTGAGATTCCGACATGCGAGACGAGGCCACCCTGATGTCTGATCAAGTGTGAGTAGATTTGCACTTGTCTGCTAGGACTTTGTTTTCCGTTGCCGAGGAGAGTCCATCCCGTCGTGCGCAGCAGAGGTCTCCTATGCTCAACACCTTGCTCCTGAAAGAGGGCGCGTCTTCGTTTTGCCTGGAGGGCGGGATGCCTGCATTGCGAAGGAGCGAAGGTGCGACCTTCGGTTCCCTCGACTAGGGCGACCGCCACAAACTCTGAATACATTCGGAATTGCTGACGTCGCCCTCCGCCATAAGTGATCCTCACGCAACAGTTCCGCAGGGCCATGAAAATGTCACGTCTTGCCCCCCGCATCTTCAGTTGGACACAGGGTTGCCCTGCTCGCCTCCGTTCTCATGTGTTGAGACTTGACACTAGCGGTCTCGCGACGTGCTGGAGGGGCCCGCTGCAGGAGTGTTGGAGACCGGGGGTAGCGAGCACGAACGTCACACTCCTGGGGAAGAGGACCGCTCTCCGGGAACGCGTGTTGTACATCGGGAAGAGGAGACTCAACGCTGGCAGTCTCGCAAAGTGTTGGAGACCGGGGGTAGCGAGTGTGAACGTCATGCTTCGGGGGTGCGTCCGTGGACAATGATAGCGAGAGTGCAGGAGCTCCGGGGGAAACGCATGCTCTACAGCGGGGAGAGGAGACTCAACACGGGTCGGTTCATGAAGACGTGAAGTGGCTCCATGCACGAGTGCTGGTGATCGGGACGTCCGAAGAGGTTCTGCACAGTCGTTCGGTTGTGGCCACCACGTGAGAGGGTGTCGTTAAGGGAGGTCAGTGGACGTCCATGCAAGCTCCAATTCTTGGCGACGATGAAGACGAAGAAAAACCCGCGGTGGAAGTTCGGGTTCATGGCGATGAGAAAGGCAGAGAACCCGTGGTGGAAGGCGGTGAGGTGACTGTCGACATCCGGACGGATCCACATCGGAAAGATGGTGATTGTTCGCCCACCCGTTGCGGTGAAGAACAGGGTGGTCGACCGCCTGTCCTAAGCACCGCTTAGGGAATGGTGCTTCATGAAGCCATAGAGTTGGGTGACGGCTCGGCAGCCACCGAGCTGGTTAGCGACTCAGGCGTGGCCGAGATGAAGAACGTCGAATCCTCTGTGTAAGGCGGTGAGGTGGTCGTCAGCATCAAGATGGATCCAGAGCGGAAAAATCATGATTCTCCGTGCACCCGTTGCGGTGCCGAACAGGGTGATCGAGCATCTGTCCTCAATACCGGTCGGGAAATGATGCTTCATGAAGCCATCGACTTGCCAAGCGACTCAGCTGCCACCGAGTTGGTTAGCAACACAGCCGTGGCCGAGGTCCAGAACCTCGAATCGTCCGTGGACGTTGGCGCAGTGGCGCGACAGGGGGGCGAGTTCCCTCAAAGGGCTCCCGAGCACGGTAAGATTTGTGAATAGGAGCACTCGCATATCTGTCACTAGCCAACTCTGTGTTCGTCCAAATTGATGTCATGGGCTAATGTACCTATTACCACTTGTTAAAAAAAAACTTGTGGGTTGTGGGTTGTTTTCTATGTTCTACAGGTGTGAGGTTATTAATGTCCCTGCCCATGAAGCCTTTAAAAGTTGTGCGCGAGAAACGTCTTTCAGGGAGGTCATTGGCCGCTTTACCGAAGAAGTCGTCAAGTGTAGGGTTATTAAAAAGGGTCCAGATGCCTCGCCTTTCCCAGAGAGCTGTCAGGGTTCTGAAGGCTTGTTGAATAGATAAGGAGGAAGGTCTGCGGAAACATTTGGCTGCGTCTATTGAGAGCGTTACTGCTTTGTCTGATGGGTCTGATGACGATGGCAAACGGGGTGTCTTGAAAGACCCGTGTCCTAAGTACATCGCGAAGGACACATTCAACAGTCGGAGATACAACTTTTCTGGGGAAAGGGCAGACAGTTCTTAGTCATTCCGCCCCGGGATTTGTGCTCACTCCTCACACTTGTTCGTGGGTGTTTGTGCAGTTTGGGCTACATCATGTTTTCGTGTTCCGTTGCCTACTGAGGAGCTTAGCGCTACGGACTTCAGAATGTTGCTGGACGTCTGCGGAGATTTCAGCAACAGCCACAAGGTGGTTTCCTCGGTTCGCAGAGGTCCCAGTTCGATTCCGTTGACCAGAAAAAGTCTTGAAACTCTTGTCCAGGGGGGATGGCTTTCCGATGAGGTGGTGGAGTCGTACTTGGCCTTGCTTGCCAACGCTGTGTTCCCTGGGGGTCCCTCTCTTTACATTTTCAGTCCTTTTTTCTATACCAAGCTCGTCGGTGGCAGCTATCGACATGAAAGGGTTGCGAAATTGACAAAAGATGTGGATATTTTCTCGTACGACATGGTTTTGATTCCTGTCCATAAAAATCGAGTGCATTGGACCCTATTATGTATCTGAGAACAAGGGCTAGAGTACTACGACTCCCTCCTGCAAGACGATGGCGGTTTTTCTTCCGATGTGCTTGCGAACTTCACGCAATACCTCCGTGACAAAGCGGTTTGTCGATATGGTCAACAAGCCAAACTGGATCTCCCGACGCCCAAGGTGGTTGCTCATGGTGTCCCTCAACAGTCGGACGGGTCGAGCTGCGGTGTTTTCATGCTCGCCTTCGCTTCTTTTCTTGCATGCAGCTATCCGCCACCATTTCCAATAGCCCAAGGCGACATTGCAAACATCAGGCTGAGGATTGCGGTGGACATACTCCAAGGCTCTGAATAATACCCCTGTTGTTAAAATACGCGTAGTTTTTTTTTTCAAAGGCTACAAGCAGAAGTGCGAATCTATTCCCACTTAATCTAGCAGTCAGCCGGTTCGAGTTGTGTTGTTGTTTTGATGAGGTACCGGATTGCAGTGGACGTTTTGGTCAAGTACACGCTTAGGTGTCGATGTGAATATCCCAGCCTCATGCTGTAGCAATTTTTTAAGGGTTCCTCATTTCGTGGAACCTGTCATCTTTATTCGTATAACTTTCGGCAGCGCGGCAGCGCCGTGCTGCCTTTGTTTGTTTTCGGGTTGTTCTCATTGCTTGCCGCGCAACATCAGCTAGAGGGTAGCAGCGGACGCTTACGTGAAGTAGAAGCTTAGATGCCGATGTAAATATCCCTGCCACGTTGTGCAGTTCCTTTTAAGTAGACGCTTACATATCGGATGTGAATATCCCAACTTTGTGCTCCTTTTGTTTATTTTCGGGTTGTTCTTCTTATGTCCTCTCAGACCGCGGCAGCACCGTGCTGCGTTTGTTCGTTTCGAGGTTGTGCTCCTCTGTTACTCATGTGAAAGATATCGACGATTTATTTTGGTCGCCAAATTATTTCGTGCTTATATCTCTCGTTTGCGAGACTTTGTGGTGTGAAAGCCCCTCTCCCCCGCCCCACCCCGACCACCCAGCTTTCATATGTTTTGACTCGCCCTTCTTCTGCGTGTGCCGCCCTGTTTTACGGTTCACCCCCTCTGTTTGTCTCCATTGAATGTTGTCTGTTGGTTCCTTATGAGATAGATATATATATATATATAGAGAGAGAGAGAGAGAGAGAGAGAGAGAGAGAGAGACTCTAGTTGAACAGCGAGGCAATTCGCAGTTATCGAGGTTGATGTCAGGTCGTGATCACTTTGGTGACTGACCACCTTTAAGAAGTGGCAGACCACCTTCAAGAAGTATCAACCCTCACGAAGTGCCAAACAGTCTGCGGTCAGAGGACTCCAGTGTGAAAAGCATTCTTAGGGTACCTTGCGGTCGTGTTCAGAACATATTGGCGTAGCACTAGATGCTCACCAAGCAGTTCTGGATGTCGGTTATATCGACACATCATAAGATGCTTTACAAGTAAGCAGCGGCTGCTTGTAGGACCTTCTACCCGGTATGGATCTTTGAGAGCAGAGTTTCGCACTCCACCGTGAGATCCACGTCGGATAGGTGGACCTGCTATCCTACCACTGTTAGTTGTAGTCATCTTGAGGGAGTCAATGAGGTGAGGACCCGACAAACAAAACTCTCAGTGGACTTTGCTGCCGTGTTTTTGGAACCTATTGGCGTAGCACTAGATGCTCTCAAAGCAGTTTTGGATGTCGGTTATATCGACAAATCATAAGATGCTTTACAAGCAAGCAGCGGCTGCTTGCATGACCTTCTACCCGGTGTGGATCTTTGAGAGTAGAGTTTCACACTCCACCGTGAGATCCACATCGGATAGGTGGACCTGCCATCCTACCGCTGTCAGCTGTAATCATCTTGAGGGAGTCGAAGAGGTGAGAACCCGACAAAGAACACTGTCAGAGGACTTTGCTGTCGTGTTTGGAACATATTGGCGTAGCACTAGATGCTCACTAACCAGTTCAAGATGTCGGTCATATCGACACATCATAAGATGCCTTACAAGCAAGCAGCGGCTGCTTGCAAGACCTTTTACGCGGTGTGGATCTTTGAGAGCACAGTTTCGAACTCCACCGTGAGATCCACATCGGATAGGCGGACCTGTCATCCTACCGCTGTTGGCTGTAGTCATCTTGAGAGTCGATGAGGTGAGGACCCGACAAAGAACACTCTTAGGGGACTTTGCTGCCGTGTTTGAAACTTATTGGCGTAGCACTTGATGCTCACCAAGCAGATCTGGATGTCGGTTATATCGACACATCATATGATGCATTACAAGCAAACTGTGGCCGAATCCCGTCCCCCATCCCCGACGCGGATCTATGAGAGCAGATTTGACATAATCCACCGTTAGATCCACATCGAAGAGGCGGAGCGGTTATCCTACCGCTGTTCAGTGTAGTCATCATGTGGGAGTCGACATCGCAAGAACCCGACGATGTTCCAATTGGGACGCACTCTTGTTTCGTGATGTGCAGGTGCTTATCGGCGGTGCGTTCGATCCCCTCCTCGACGTGAAGCAAAGTGCGAGGGAATTGCTCAGGGCTCACACCAGAAGTGCCATTGAACTCGCACTTTGATGGAGAAGCAGTTTCGCAGTCCATCACCGCGACGATTTAATATGGA